TTTCTTCCTTTCTTTCTTTCCTTTTTTCTTCCTTTCTTTCTTTCTTCCTTCCTTCTTTCCTTTCTTCCTTCCTTTCTTCCTTTCTTCCTTCCTTCTTTCCTTTCTTCCTTCCTTTCTTCATCTCCTCCTTTCCTCCTTTCCTTCCTCCTTTTCTTCTTTCCTTTCTTCCTTCCTTCCTTCTTTCTTTCTTTATTTCCTTCTTTCTTTCTTTCCTTCTCCATCTATCTCTCTCCAGCATCATCAAAGTAAAAGCGACATAGGAAGGCACGGGGAGGCTGGACGCGCCAGGCAATGTTACGACCAGCAATCATGCTGGAACAGTGCTGCCCATTTCCAAAACGACTTCCCTGATGAGGCTCCATGTGCCCGGGATTTAACCTCGCGTAACTTTCTCAAATCCTTCCTTTGTCCTAAGGCGACCCCGAACGGAGCCGAGCCCAGCCGCCTTGTCCCGTGGGGGGAATGTTGCGGCAGCGCAGGAGGGACCGGCCCGCACAGCCGAGACGGGGGCTTTGGGGAGCAGCGACATCGTCGGGATAGGAGAGAGAAAATTGCTAGTAATATTCTTTCGAGTCCCGAGCCGACCCTTACTTCTCGTCCCAGCGCCAGCCCCTCTCCTCTCCGCGATGCACTGGCTGCACTGGATCGTCCCCCGGCCCCATCCCGATGAAACCCCCAGCCCGGAGTGAAGCAGGGCTCTCTGGAGCAGCCCGCCCTGACGGAGGTGAGGATGGGACCCCTCCTGTTGCTTTCCCCGACGGCATCTTTTCGCCTTCCTCTTCTATGTCCCCGTCGGACCCGAACTTCCCCAAACCGAGCTGCGCGTCTGCTCCGGAGCGGCGGACGCGGGGATAAGGGCTGACAGCCTCCCGCCCCGGGGCCGGGATTTTCACCCTATTCTGCGCGTTGTTATGCCGCTGCCGCCGTCACCGTATCAATTTTTATTCATTTGCTTCTCCCCGGCTCTATGGGAGAAAAGGACTGAGGGAGGAGCGGGTAGCCCCCGGGAGCCACCCGGAGAGCTGCTCCGCGGGATGAGGAGACAGGCGGCGCCCGGCTCGGCGGGGGCGGACGGCACTGTGGGATCCGGGCCGGGCAGAGGTTCCTGCCTGTATGTCTGGCAAACCTGTCAGCTGAGGAAAAGTCAGAGTGGGTTTGTGGCTTTCGCGGTGGAAGCGGGATAAAGCCCAGGTCTCGTTGAGTTACTTTTAATATATCCTCTTAAATCTTTTTTTTCTCTTTTCTTTTCTCTTTTCTTTTCTCTTTTCTTTTCTCTTTTCTTTTCTCTTCTTTTCTTTTCTCTTTTCTTTTCTTTTCTTTTCTTTTCTTTTCTTTTCTTTTCTTTTCTTTTCTTTTCTTTTCTTTTCTTTTCTTTTCTTCTCACCGCAGGATTTACTGACAGTGCAGAAATCAGAAAGCTTTCATTTTGCTCAGCAGATTAACCGCAATTAGACCCAGCCGGACGAAAATATTCCTCTTTTCCTTACTCTTCGCCCTCCTCGGGGCCTGGACACTATGGAGGAGTGAGATACTGCCAAGGAGATTTCTGCTGGGCCCTAAACGCCCTTTGGAAGGTGAACACTCGGCCCGTCGGTTTCACACGAGGGAGGGGGGCACCAGGGCCGGCTCTGGGAGTTCCAGAGCCCGTCCGACGCCGGTGGCTCAGGCCCTGTCCTGGCTGGCAGCCCCACACTCATCGCGTACGCACCACTGGGGCCTGGGAAGATCCAGTGGAGGATCACACGCCCTTCCCCGGACACGCAGGCTACTACCGCCGCCGTCGCTGCGAGGGGATTCTCACCTCCCCAGACCGGCAGACCCCGCAGGTGGCCAGGCCGGCTCAGTCCGCACCCGAGGCAGAGAAGTAGCTCAGCCGAGAGCTAGGGAGGTGACACCCGCCCCAGGGGCCCCGCCCGCCCTGCCCGGCGGAGCTACAACCAGCCCAGCCCCACGCACCCCCTCCCTTCCCCGCTCCACCGTTGGCTGCGCCCGGTGCCGGGCCCCTTCTACTTACTGGCGCTAAAGCCTGGGTATATTTGCAGCGCTGCCCCCCGAGCTGGCTCCCTTCCCGCCTGCGTCCGGCCCTGCCCGGCTCTGTCGGTCCTGCCGACGGCCGCTCCGGCCGCGCCGCCCTCCCGACGGAGCCCGGGGCCGCGGAGCCCTGGGGACTGCCGGTCGCCCCTCCCGCCGCCAAGCACATCAGTTTTCCTCCGCACCCTGGCTTTCCCCGTTTATTTAAAGGGAGTCACTGGCCCGGGGGGAGGCGGGTTTCCCAACCAGCATCTCCCCGCGGCGGCTGCCTGAGTCATCATCGCTCATTTAAACAAAGCAGCGACCCAGGTACGAGGCAGTCGCGGCCAGCCCGCCCAGGCGAGGGGCAGCCGGTGCCGCACCACACACCCCGGCCGGGGAGGACAGGGGGAGGGGGAGGAAAAGGCAAACAAAGCGGGGAGCCCCGGCTGGAGCCGGGCATGTTGCAGGACGGGGGCGACCAACGTCCTCTCCTCCTGCCATAGCGGGGGTACTTCCCCGGGCTTCCTGCCCGCTGCCGCCCGCCACTGGGGTTTCCTGGACGGCCCCGAGCAGGCGCGCAGCCCTTCGCAGCCCCCTGCCTCCCTACTGTAGACGGGATGAGGTTTTATATTGGAAATGAGGGGGCAGGGGGAGGAGAAGGAGCGCACACGGAGCGATGAGTGTGCGGTGTCAATCAGAGGGGTTTTGTGTCTCCTTGACTCCTGATGGTCCATGGCTGAGGTGTCCCGGGTGGCACCACAATGAATATGAATAGGGGTCCTTGCTAAATGGGACAGTCAAAGCGCACCGCCCTGAATAATGGCACGTCATCCTAACTAGACCATTATACATAGGAGGGCTCCTTTTGTCTCTGCTCTCTGCTGCAGCTCTATAAAAGCCCCTCTTTTTCAGGCTGAGGTTAGTCCAAGCATACACTAACTAGCCATCCTGTAAACAGGCTGAGTAACCGGGGGGGAGAGAGAGAGAGGAGGGAGATTGAAGAGAGGGGGCTGAGGGGCTTTTCTTCTTCCTCCATTTCCAGCCCTTCGCTGGCAGATCCTGCCGTCCGTTTACTTCTTTTTTGCTTCGTTTTTGTTTCTTTTTGAAGGAGAGTGGTCTTGTTCCACCACCTCCAGAGCAGGGAAGAGTTTCTTGCTCAGAAGCCTGAATACAATGAATTCTGACTCCAGCTCTGTCTCCAGCAGAGCTTCCTCGCCAGACATGGATGAGATGTATCTGAGAGAACACCACCACCACCACCACCATCACCACCACCAAGACAGCCGGCTCAACTCTGTCTCCTCCACCCAGAACGACCTGGTGCAGAAGATGTCCGGAGAAGGCCTCACCAGGAACGGCTCCAAGGCCGGAGGGGAAGGCAGCAAGTACAAAATCAAGAAGCAGCTTTCGGAGCAGGACCTGCAGCAGCTACGGCTGAAGATCAACGGTCGGGAGCGTAAGAGGATGCATGACCTCAACCTCGCCATGGACGGACTGCGGGAGGTGATGCCCTACGCCCACGGACCTTCCGTGAGAAAACTCTCCAAAATCGCCACCTTACTGCTAGCCAGAAACTATATCCTGATGCTCACCAGCTCCCTGGAGGAGATGAAGAGGCTGGTCGGGGAAATCTACGGGGGGCACCACTCGGCCTTTCACTGCGGCACGGTGGGACACTCCACCGGGCACCCTCCCCACGCCGCCGGCACTGTGCACCAGGTGCACCCCATCCTCGGCAGTGCCTTGTCCTCCGCCAACACCTCCTCCTCCCTCTCCGCCTCCCTGCCGGCCATCGGCACGATCCGGCCCCCACACTCCCTGCTCAAGACCCCCTCGACACCCCCCGCCCTGCAGCTCGGCAGCGGCTTCCAGCACTGGGCGGGCTTGCCGTGCCCCTGCACCATCTGCCAGATGCCTCCCCCGCCCCACCTCTCGGCCCTCACCGCGTCCAACATGGCCAGGATCTCGGGGGAGACCAAGGACCTCCTGAAGTGACTCGGCGGGGCTCCCCTGACCGCTGGGGCTGCGCCGAGGCCAGCGCTCCCATGGACGGAGAGGGGGCTGCTGCCAGCCCCCTCTCGGGCCGCCGACGGACCTGCCCCCGCTGCCTCCCGCCCCTCCAACCCCCCTGTAACACAGGATTAGTGTAGTAAGGACCTTGCAAAGGTAATGTTATACCCAGCTCCTCGGGCGATGTTTTCTTACTATACTAACTGGAAAAAAAAAAAGTCCCTGTTGTAAAAAGAATGATAATGATGATAATAATAATATTAATGCCGCTGATGGTAATCAAATGCAAATGATTCCTTAAAATGTATGTAAAAGGAAAAAAAGAAAGACATGGTTGTCGTTGTAGTTTTCGCAACTAAGAGACGATGAGATCAGTTTGGGGGTTTCCCCCCTTCTTTTTCCTGGCTTTTCCTTTCTTTCCTTTCGCACGGCGACACCTCCGAAATTTCCCGCTCCAAATCTGGCTGCATCAGCGCAGCGGCGGCCCAAGGTAGCCCAGAGTGCATGCATGCTTCCCACCCCAGCTTGTCACCAGCGGGGACCGGCCACAGGCAGCTCCCCTGGCAACAGGGACTTCCGAGACAATTCACTGAAGTTTTCGAGTGTGGTTTATAGTTTGGGGGTTTTGTGGTTGGGTGTTGTTTTGTTTCTTTCTTTCATTGTTTCCTCCAAATTTCGCTGTGATGCTGTTTTGTTTGCGGTACTTTCTCTTCTTCCCTCTGTGAAGAAAAAAAAAGAGGAAAATAGTGCAAAACACAACACAACCATCCTGCGGATCTGTTTTGCCAAATCTTTGATCTCCTGTTCTCAGTGAAGTGTGCTAGTTCAGCTGGCTGGGGTACTAATTTCTCATGCTGGCTTTGGGTTATTTTTTGTTATGTTTTGTTTTGTTGTTTTTTGGGGGGGTTGTTGTTGTTTGTTTTGTTGTTGTTGTTTTGGGGTGTTTTTTGTTTGTTTGTTGGGGTTTTTTTCGCATTGCTACAGTTTGGTTTTGCATGCGGAGTCAGCTCTTGCAACATCAGTGACTTGTAGAACTAAATCGGAAGCTTTGTTGCTGTTTATTTCCTTTCCGATACTTTTTCCTGGGATTTTGCTTGAAATAATGTTATTATTAATTTCGATTGTTGGTTTGTTTGTTTGTTTTCGGTTGGGGCCTCAAAGACAACACCGTGTCTTTATTTTTTATATATTCTTGATAACTATCAATATATTTATTATTGACCAGTGTTTCTGGATGAGATTTCCAAATAAAATAAAAAATAAATTCCAAGCTGACTGTTTCGCTTTTGTCCGGGACTGGACGCTCAGAAAAGGCGCCGTATTTGATCGCTTTGGGTTTCGCCAGGACTTCCCCAGCCCAGACTAGGAGGAGGTCGGCGCATCCCCGTGTGCGGCTTGGGAGCAGCCACGAGCCCGACGTGCTCCGCTGTGCGAGAGCTGCCGGGCAGCTTCCGGCAGTTTTCCACTGGGCTGGGAGCCGGCAGGAATTCAGCCGATGGCCGGTCCCACAGACAGAGCCAGGCGGCGGGAGGACGGGCCGCGAGCACCACTGGGAGGGGCGCTGGGGCGTTTATGGGCAATAACTTTTTTTTTTTGAGATCCAGCTGTCGGCCCTTTCCCGGGAGGGAAATGGCTAGATGGACAGGGTTGGGATAGGCATATCTGCCCCGCCGGGAGGCGGTGCTCCATGGGGAGCAGCGCGGTGGGGTGCGGCATCCTCGAGGGAGCGCGGCTGGCGATTCCCAGCGCCCTCTGGCTCCGCACACGGGAGCGGGTCCTGCACCCCCCACCCAGACCACGGCCCCCTGTCTTACGGGAAAGGGAATGTCCGGGAAGGGCCTGAAGAAACGCGGAGAAGACGACTCCCCCTGATTCGCAAGGTGAGTAGTGAGAGAGGAAGGATGGGTGGAGCATTTAAACCGAAATGCCAAACAATTTTTGAAGGCACCTGTGGGTGATCCGCGCTGGTGAACTGCAGCACTCAAATCAAGGTTAAGAGATAAGCACCCAAACGCAAACATTTGAAAAATGAAAAGAAGAAAAAGAAGAATGTATATTTGCCTCGAAAACATACTGAACTAACAAATCATGTTCTCAGAAATCACTCCCTGGCTGAAGTAAATCCTTACTGTAATTCAGCAAGATGATCAAGATACGCTGCAATTTCCCTCCCTCCTTCCCTTCTTCCCTTCTTCCTTCCCTCCTTCCTTCCTTCCTTCCCTCCTTCCTTCTTTTCCTCCCGTTTTCAGCTGTTTTCAGTTTTTTCGCCGCTGACCAAGTCACGGCGGTGTCTGGTCCCCGCCCGCCCCAGTCTCAGGGATTAGGGAGTCCTGCCGCCGGGGAGGGGGCGCAAGACGGGGAGGTGGGCAATGAGACTTATGGGTGCAACCTGTGCTCCGTAAGGTGCTGTTCTTGAGGAGAGGGCCGGCGGGGTGATCTCCTGGGGCCGTCGGAGCTGTGCTCCGGGCTCTGTGCAGGACGCGGGCACCCGCCTCGCCGTCCCGGTGGGAGAGGCTGGGCTGGAGCCTCTGCCCGGCCCCGGCAGCCAGAGGCACTCACACACACTCCTCCCTTTTCCCTGGCGGCGCTGCCTGAGCAGAGGGCAAGCACAAGCCGGGGGAAACCCGGCAGAGGAGCGGGGAGCTGCGGGGAGCGGCCTGCGGGATGCCAGTCCCGACGCGGGGCCGCCGGCTCCTCCTCAGCTGACCCGACTGTCCCCGACGTATCCCTCCATGCGGGGCTGACACGGTTGGGGCACAAAGCCACGATCGCCCCGTCCCCGCATCCTCCATCTTTCCAACCCCGATTCCTCCTCGGCCCTGCATCCTTTCCCCTGGAGTGGGGCGAGCGGGGCAGCGTTGGAAGCGGCTTCTTCTGCTTCTGTCCCCTAGCTGCGTCTGCCAACAGCTTACCGAGCCTGCGACGGGACTGGGCTGCAAATGACAGTTGAGAGGAGGACGAAGTCACCCTCTCTGTCCAGGAGCCGGCAGTCAGGTAACCGGGACCCGCCGCTATCCTCGGCAGTGCTGCCTTGCCCTAAAGCATCTCTGCCGCTCGGCCCCTCGGTCCTGGGGACGGAGGGCGCCTTGCCTCAACAAAAGGTCTTTTTGGAGACATTTGACCCCCACTCAGCCACACAGAGCCGTCCCGGGCTCTGTCTCGCATTCCCTGACAGCGCCGGGCTGTTTTCCAGCCGCGGAGCAAGGGTGGGTGAACAGGCTTCTTCGCTCTTTTCTGTAGCAAAAGCGACCAAGCAGCCGCATGAGCCTGAGACAGGATTTTGAGTCGTTAGGAAAGGGGAGGCAAATGTCCCGTCCCCCCGGCTCCTATGCGGCAGCGACGTACTCCAGGAGGTGCGAGTCAAACGCCCTAGACTCGCCTCCCTGGTTTCACGTCCTGACCTGTGGAGAAGGGAAAATGGAAAGAGTATCTGAAGAGATGTGGTTTCCTTATCCTTTTTGATGGGTGGGGAAACGCTGAGCAACTTGGAGATATGATGCTGCAGGCGAGGAGGTACCTTTGGAGAGTCCCTTCCCTTCCCTTCCCTTCCCTTCCCTTCCCTTCCCTTCCCTTCCCTTCCCT